AAAAATAATATAGACATGTAATAGCGAAAAACAGATTTAATCAATGTGACTCAAAGTCTATCTTTCAAGAGCTGGACCAAACTTTAAGCTAACGAGAGGCTAGAGGTATGCACAACTAGCTAGTCCTGGCCCAGGTGTCCTCTTGCCCACTATTGGCTTATCTCAGCCGTGGGGTGGTGTTAATTACCTTGTGAGCCCAAGTGCAGATTCCGTGCTGGGGTGTTTTGTTGTTGCTTGTTTGTTTATTTGTTTGTTTGGCTTTTTTAAGCAAAAGCAGTTTCAAAGTGCTATCGCATGAGGATGCAGGTTGGAAGTGTCAGGTCCCACAATTTCCCCCCAAAGGACATGCATGCCAGAGGATGGAACCCAGGAAGTGTTCCCAGGCCAAATATAGAACAGGAGAAGAAAACTTCATAGGTACCAAATATGCCTGCCTTGTAACCCAGCTTTGCCCATAACACACAAACCTAGGTGGTACGAACACACGCCTGGATGTGACCCTGAGGATGAGAAGTCACCAGAAGCTTGAGTTTGCTTTCCTCCACACTAGACTGGCGGAGCCATGCTGTCACCCCTGGGAACCACGCATAGGTGGATTATTGCATACGGAGTTGCTTAGACCGCAAGGCTCTTTGGAGGATCCCATCCATTTGGCAAGGACCTAGGGAAACAATTCTGCAAACTCTCGCGCTGACCTTAGGAAGCTCATGGGCTTCTGGCTTCTCTCACTTTAGCTACACTTATTCTTATGGAAACTCTCAGTTTTGCATTGTTAGGTGTGGTTATGCCTGAGTTTACTGGGAACAAAAGCCTTTACAGAAAAACCGAATTTCTCCGATCTGTTGCAGAAACCAGTTTCTCCAGTCACCACTGGCTGCCTTTGCAGTCATACTGAATAAGCAGGGGGATATTTTCCCAGTGTCAAAGTATCAACAAAGGAGTCTAAAACTCTTAAAGAAATATGTTTAGAAATTGCAAGGAAGAATAAAGAAACTTAGTCTCAATAGTTAAAGAGTTAGGTATTAATCATTACTATTTCGAGAACTTATAAAGAATGGTATTATAACTGCAATCCACATAGTAAAGGTAATATAATTTACTAATTAGAAACTGTGGCACACCTGAAAATGATATCCTAGACATCCCAATATACTCAGTTGATTTCATATTGTTAAGAACTAATCACAGGGCTCAAATCTCTTACTTTGTAACCACATGTTAGGGCCGGCTAGGGCACAGTATGAATAAGATGTACCTGGCTACATATAAACATTTGGCTTGCTTTGTAACGATGTGGGGTAAAGGTCAATGAGGAGTGGGAAAGAAGAGACAGTAAAATGTTAATGGTTTGGGAAATGATTAAAGAGAAATGCTTTGAAACCGCTCATGCTCAAATGCATTTGAACCTGCATAAATAAAGATGCCTGAGCTAGTCGGGGCCGTGGTTTGAAGGACAGCTGGTGGGCCAGACTCCTCACTTTTCACCGACTCCACGCTTCCTTCCTGTGGCACAAGAGCCCCACTGGAACTGGACTCCACACTGGACAACGGTGGCTTAGGATCAGAAGTTACGCAAAAGGACAGAAAAAGAATGGAGTGCTGTTTCACACCCCTCAGCTGGATGACTGAGATTTCCCGACCCTGATCAGTCCTGTTTTAGCAGAAACTGACAGCTTGTGGGTCTGTTTACAAACACTGGAGAGACAGTGAGGGAGTTCTGACAAGCTCTCCGGAGCTCGCCAGCATCTTAGCTCCCCGCCATCCAACAAAGGAAACGGTACTGAAATCCCATCTTCACCTGTATCCCCCTGCCTCCCCGATGGTTTGGCACCTTTTCCTGTGTTTATCATCCATTCGCATTTCCTTTTAGGTGAATTCCAATTCACACCTTCTACCCAGTTTTTTTTTTCAGCCAGAAATTCTGTTTTCTGTTAGCACAGAAAGATGCTTTGTCTAGGAGAGAAATTTGGAACCCATCCTGGCCTGTCTTCTGGTGTCATTTAACTGTCATCTACATAGTAAACCAGCGGTTGGTTGCCCATCAGCCCAAAGTTTTACTGAGTGTTCTAAATTTTCTTCTACTTGAATTGAAAAGTTTATTTTGGCCACAGTTGGCCGTTGCCAGGGGTAACCAGTGAGCAGTCAGTTAAAGAACATCGGGTGATCGATAACCATCTTTCTTGGCCGCCATTACTGAGAGTCCACAGGGAGGGAAGAATCTAGAGAAATGAGATACTTAAGTTCTGGGTATCAACTTACTACAGTCTGGAGAATTGTCACAGCTCAACAAAAATGGAGGATTCTGACAAAATGCTGCATTCCTGCCTCACACTACTCTGGGTAACTGTGCTTCAGAGATCTAGTGAGGTCCTCAAGCCCACTTGCTACAGATGCCCCTTTCCTCCAGAGTAGTAGTCCCGGAGCCCTCTGCGTCAACCCTGCCAGGTGAAACTCCTCCCCTGAGCTTCCTCTACACCCTTCAGCCCCAGCCTCCACCTCACCAACCTGCACACTGGGTATCAATCACTTCTTCGTAGAAATCAAAACCTACTATATTCCTCAGTCTAGGAAGGTTCTTTGAGCAACCATCCACATTAGAGTCCCTCCCCTTTGCCTCACAAGCTCCTAGACTTCCCTGACGTGTGCCCATCACCCGGTGCTATACTGTACCAGACAGACCCAGCCAGTCAAGTCGGCAGCAGGGTCTGAGAGGAGCAATCCCCGTGTAAAAAAAGAGAAGCTATAACAGTGGCCACGCCTTTTGGGTGTGGTTACAGGTGTGGAAGTGACCAGTTAAAGGGAAAGGATGGGGCGGGGTGGGGGGGTGAGGAGAGACTGAGATCTCGGAGAGCGTCGAGGAAGCAGGGTTGCATCCTTGGAGCAGAAATGGCGCAACAGTCACTTGCTGTTTTCTATGTAAGCTCTTCCACCAATAAAACTCTTTCATACTGTGTCTGGTGAATCCTTAATCTCCACACCTTCAAGAAGCTCTGAAGAGCGTGGAATACCGTAGAGAAAAGTCCCTGCAGAGAGGAAGAATCATCGAGTTCGGCGGATTCATTGGTGTCCAGTGTTTTGTTTGGTTTGGAGCACCAGAGATTGACCCCAGGGCTCCTTGCGTATTAGGCATGGGCTCTACCACTGAGCTCTATCCCCAGGCTTCATTTTAGTTTTTAATTTTGATGTGGGGGGCCACACTAAGTTGCCCAGGTTAGCCTTGAACTCACTCTGTAGCTCAAGCAGGACCTGAACTCAAAACACTCCCTCCTCAGCTTCCTGGTGCCAAAACAAAGCACAGTTCCCACCTCAAAGGGAGCAAGAGGTAGTTTATTCTGGAGCCAAATATAAGTGACCACAGCTGGTGAACACAGATTCAGCCTGCCCCAAGTAACTGACTCCAGTGTGTAGATGTTTTACTGAAGTTTTTATAGATACAAAATAAACTAAAGTAATAAGTGCAGGTATATATCAGTGGGGATGGTTTGTAGGCAGGTTACAGCAGAGTGGGGGATTTCTTGCTCTAGGTTTCCCATGCAGTGTGACAAGCTGCTTCACTTTGGAGTGTGGAAACTAGTGCTCTGCTAAGTTAATTCATTCCCAATGTTCCTCGTGCTAGGAGATAGCCTCGGGGCATGGCAGCACACGCAGAGTTGGGCATTAAATCGCTATTACATGTGTTCTAAATAAAGCCAAAGAGAAGCTCGGAGATATGGCTCAGTATGCCTGCCTAGCACGCCCATGGTTCAGTCTCCAGCAACCACAAACACAGGGTGTGGTGGCACGTGCCGAAAACCTCTGCAGTCAGGAAACAAAGGCAGGAGGATCAGAAGTTCACATTTATCCTTGGCCATATTGTGAGTTCAAAGCCAGCCTGGCAGACACAAGAACCTGTCTCCAAAAAAAATATAGTCGCCCGAGAAAATTTGGCCATGAATCTGCACGTTTCAACTCTTCACAAACAGAAAATGTCTGCTCACACCAGCCTACCTATGTCACAACCAGGCCCAGATGTTGATGTCACTTCGAAAGTAGCAGAGACCAACCCCCCCACCCAAGCTTCAGAAATCATACCCTGGCCAATCAGTAGCCATCAACATTGGAGCAAGACACTCCCCTTGCATAGCAGAAAAGAATGGTTGATATGTTTTAGTAATAAGCTGTTTTTAAATTAAGGCATGCACATTGTATCTTAGACAAACGACATTGCCCATTTTATGAGCTATTAGTGCAGATGTGGTTTTTGTGTGTTCTTGGAAATAAACAAAAATCAGTGCGACTCGAATCGTTGTGTTACTTGCTTAGCTGTGGAATTCCTGAGTGAAGCCTGCTACATTGCCAATGTGCCTGTGCTCTGCTCTGATTTCTTGCTTTCCATCCCAGACTCTGGTTGGGGTGAGGGGGAAAGGGGCCGGGCCAGCACCTCTCTTGCTTGCTTCTGTATTCCTTACACCCAGTGCAGACCTGACACATAGCGATTTTATTTTTAGAAGATCAAACCAACCCACAAAGGCACTCGTGGATGAGTGATTGTGGCCCCCTCTTTACCTGCCAGATCAGAACTATTCCTGCAGGATCGCGGGTGAGCAGTCCGGCCTACAGAGGGCGCCAGTCTGCTTCCATATCTCCCCAGTGGAACCCAGAGCCTGGACCTGCTGTCAGTCAGACCGTGCCAGCTGCTCAGTGGTCATTTTGCTGCGCTGGCGATGAAGTAGGAGTTCCGATGCATAAAATCTGAGTGCTCTCCCTTCTCTCAAGTCCCACATCCCCTACCTCGCCATGAGTAGAGCTGTAACTGTAGCAACCGGCGTCGGGTGGGGATGTGAGAGGAGCCCAGGAGAGAGAGAGGGTCGGAGCGACAGGGGATGAGGCAGGCTGATCAGAGTCTGCACTGATTGTTGGAGACCCAGGGAAACTTCAACGTCTCCAACTCTCTCTCTCTCTCTCTCTCTCTCTCTCTCTCTCTCTCTCTCTCTCTCTCTCTCTCTCTCTCCCTCTTTCTCTCTCTCTGTCTCTCTCTCTCTGTCTCTCTCTCTCTGTCTCTCTCTCTCTCTCTCTCTCTCTCCTTCTGTCTCTATAACTAAACTGGTCAGCATCCACAAGAGAAACACCTAGAAAGAGAGGGTTTTCCAGCAGTTTGCTCAGGACCCTCAGGAGCCACAGCTGGGACTCACCCCTCTGTGAACCATGAACTCTTCCTGCTGCCTGTTCTCTGCTTCTCCGATGCTGCCTAACCTCTCAGAGCACCCTGCAGTCCCCTCTGCCAGCAACCGGAGCAGCAGTAGTGGCGAGTTCTGCGAACAGGTCTTCATCAAGCCCGAGGTCTTCCTGGCGCTGGGCATCGTCAGCCTGATGGAAAACATCCTGGTAATCCTGGCTGTGGTCAGGAACGGCAACCTGCACTCCCCCATGTACTTCTTTCTCTGCAGCCTGGCTGCAGCCGACATGCTGGTGAGCGTGTCCAACTCCCTGGAGACCATCATGATCTCCATCATCAACAGCGACTTCCTGACCTTGGAGGACCAGTTCATCCAGCACATGGACAACATCTTCGACTCCATGATCTGCATCTCCCTGGTGGCCTCCATCTGCAACCTCCTGGCCATCGCCGTGGACAGGTACGTCACCATCTTCTACGCCCTCCGCTACCACAGCATCATGACGGTGAGGAAGGCCCTCGCCCTGATCGTGGCCATCTGGGTTTGCTGCGGCATCTGCGGTGTGATGTTCATCATCTACTCCGAGAGCAAGATGGTCATCGTGTGCCTCATCACTATGTTCCTCGCCATGGTGCTCCTCATGGGCACCCTCTACACCCACATGTTCCTCTTTGCCAGGCTGCATGTCCAGCGCATCGCTGCGCTGCCCCCGGCTCATGGGGTGGCCCCGCAGCAGCACTCGTGCATGAAGGGGGCTGTCACCATCACCATCCTGCTGGGGGTGTTCATCTTCTGCTGGGCGCCTTTCTTCCTCCACCTGGTCCTCATCATCACCTGCCCCACCAACCCCTACTGCATCTGCTACACGGCCCATTTCAACACCTACCTGGTCCTCATCATGTGCAACTCTGTCATTGACCCCCTTATCTACGCCTTCCGTAGCCTGGAGCTGCGCAACACGTTCAAGGAGATTCTCTGCGGCTGCAATGGCATGAACTTGGGCTAGGGTACCGGTGGAGGTGCTCTGTATCCAGCCAAGGAGCTTAGAGACAAAAAAGAACACTCAGAAGAGACATAAAGAGCGTTAGCGGCCGGCCGTGACTGAGCTTGGCTTTTGTATTTTTTGCAAAGCTGGTGGTCCTTCGCAAAGGGCAGATGGAGTAGAATGGGCTCTCTGTGAGGATCTGCATGTGGGTAAGTCTGATCTTCCACACCGTCTCTGGAAGAATCAGGGAAGGCTGCACTTGGTGTGTTCATTGCTGGGCACCCAGGGCTTGTGATCTCTGCCTGCCTGTCTGCTTTGTACCAGTAACTCTGTGCTTCAAGCCAACCAGATGGAGGGCTCTGGTGAACAGAACCAGTGCAAGCAAACCTGCTCACAGCTACCACCTCCGGCTGTCTGCTACGTGGAGGGCTTTGTACACATTCAGAGAGAGACTGAGTTTCCATTTGCGTGGCTACAATGTGTAAAAACAGCATAAGGTTCTCGTTTCTCCCTTCCAGCACCGGCATCCATCCCAGTCTCTCCCTACCCCTGCAAAAAGAAAGTAACATGGGGATGTGACCCCCTTCTTTCTGTGCCATTGTCAGGGTTGTTGCTATTATTGGGGTTTCATTCATTCCATCTAAGCTTCAAAACCTAGTAAATCAAAATGCTATGGGCAGTGAGAGGTCCTTGTATCCTTGGACTTTGCTACCTGGTCATTTTAAGGTAGATGTTGCAAAAAAAACAAACAAAACTGTCTTTCTACTGTTGCTTCTCTGCCTACAGGAGGGTGTGCATTTCACTAGAAACCACTTTGCTGTCACTGATGATGGCTTGAGCAGCTGGGTCTGCCTCCAAATCCCTTCCTTCCTTACTCCCAAACTCCTCTCTCCGCTCCTGGTGACTGTGTGTCTATCAAGAGGCTATCTCTGTATTATCTGTGACTGTGGCTGTGTTTTGGCTGTTCCTTCTTATGATAGACATGATGTTAAAGTCAAGTGACCCTGTTGGCAACATCTGTACCTTGTCAAGTAAAGCAGTCACTCCCACCACCACAGGGCAAGGATTCACAGGCGCTGTGCATATCACTCTGTGCTGCTGGCAACTGTGGATCCCTTCTTGCCCTAAACAAGTTCAGCTAGCACCTTCTCCTCTGTGTGTGCTTTCCTGTTCTTGAATGTATGGGGTTAAGGGACCATGCTTGAATTGTTCCTGCTAACGTGATAATAAGCATCATTTGTTTCTTGCTTGGATCGTGATGCTGGGGGATAATAAAAACTTCTGCTTCTGTGCCCACTAAGCACGTGTGATGTTGCGGTGCAGCCATGGCCCTGGGTCATACGGCGCCTCCCACACATGGACACGGTACAGGATCTAAGTGCACGGAATTAAAATGGCACTGAGGGCTGGGGAGATGGATCATGGCTGCTCTTGGCCGAGCACTCACACGGTGGCTCACAAACATCTGTAGCTCCAGCCCCAGATCCGGCACTCTCTCCTCACCTCTGAGGGCACTGCACGCACTCAGAAAACAGACCCGTACACATAAGATAAAAATGAATGAATCTTAAAAGTAGCGTTAGTGAGAAAGGTAGCGTTTCTTGGTTCATCTCCTTTTAGTCAAACCGCAAAACTCTCCTGTTTAGTTTGACAAATCACCCATCTTGTGGCCACTGTCAGTTCTCAGTTTTACCTGAAACACTAAGTAAAAGGAATTACTCAGGAAGCAAATACAGAAAAGGGAAAGTTGAAACTATAGGACCAGCTACAGGAATGGCAATGCACTTGCTCTGTTTACACAGGATAAAAATCCCCACCTTCTCCTGTTTTGGGATCATTTTTCACCTTGTTTCATCTTTGCCTGTCAGCAAACCTTTAAGTGGCATCATTTTGGGTGTGAACACATGCTTTAGAGCACAGTGAGGGTGTGGGGTGAGTCCAGCCGTGGTGTGTCCTATCTGCAGCTGACATCTGTTGACATGTTGCTGTCGGTGGATTTCCACAGCCACATGGGTCCTAGTTCTCACTGTGAGCATCAGTTTTAGGGTGTATGTTCAGACAAGAGCACCCCCCAAGAGTCACCCAGCCTCTTCCACAGGTGTACACTGCTTCTGTAGGTCTAATGGAGTCCTGAGAGAGGATTCTGCTATGTCTGACTCCCCGGGATTTGGCTGCTGGTCAGAGAACCACATCCTCAGACAAGTGGGTACGGGAGACTTTCAAACAAGCCTGGTGCGGGTCTTCATGGAGTGCTGAGCTCTGCCAGGAGCTGAGAAAGAGCTATCTAGACACTTACTGCTCGGACCCTTACAACAGCCTATGAGGCAGACACTGCAACTGTCTGTGAGATCTCTGAAACTCAGGTTAGAGGGACTCCTGGGGGAACTCAGCTAACAAGTGCAGGCAGAGAGAGTCTGCCTCGGGCTCTGCAGCCCTCATGCCCTCATCAACCCTGCTGTGGTTTCAGTGTGAAATGTCTCCCGTGGCTCATGTGTTTAGACACTTGAACCCCCGGTTGGTAGTTGCTGTTCTGGAAGGTTATCTTAACACTGAGTGTTTCAAACTAGGGCCCAGCTGGATGAAGTAATTTGGAAGCCCGGCCCCAACTCCTGTCTGTTATTTGCTTCCTGACTGTGGAAGACAAGTGGCTAGCTACCTCAGACGCCTGCCACAATGACTCTCCCACCATGGTGGACTCTATAACCTCTAACCGTGGGGTAAAACAACCCCATCCCTCGTGTTGCTTTTTGTCAGGCATCTGGTCACAAACATGAGAAAAGTAACTAAGTGTGAGCCACAGTGTCCTCCTCAGGGAAGCTGGAGGGGTGGCTGGTTAGACCTGAATGACATCGAAGGTGTGTCCTCCCATGGAAGAAGGTTCTAATGCACGTCTCGAGTTTCCAGAAAGATATGTTACGATAAAGGGGCACAACACATTATTTACTTGGTAGAATTTTCCAAAGCTGTACATGGCCCCATGGAGCACAGTAGGAGCAAGCCGGCGTCTATGCAAGCTTCCGTTGACTTCTTTTCCTCGGGAAAACAACATGGAAGTTGGGGTGCTGCTGGCCCCATCTCCTTCTACAGTCCATCTCAGATCTTTATGAGGGAGCCTATGGGATGCTTGGACAAGGGTAGGAAGATGCATTGCCTCCCCACATCCAGAGCATTGACCCGCGGCAGGACTCTGCTAGTCTGCTGCCCAAACCAAGGAAGGTGCTTCTCTCTCTCTCTCTCTCTCTCTCTCTCTCTCTCTCTCTCTCTCTCTCTCTCTCTCTCTCTCTCTCTCTCTCTCTCCTCTGTGTGTGTGTGTGTGTAGTGACGTGTATACTTTTCCATGTGGGGCCACCTTACACAGTAACTGAGGGTGGACTGTGGCCTCACCCTAACATGCATTTACAGTCTTTTCCATTTATCTGTTGAAGCAAAGCTAAAGCCAACAATTTCTAGTGGATGCCATCCAGGAGGAGCCTTGAAGGGAAGGACTACCACACCCTAGTAACTGAGGTACTAGACAACAGATTTCCTTTAATACCAGGGGAGTAAATAGATCCTTCTTCCTCTTCTTCTCCCTCCTCCTCCTCCCTCCCCCCACTGGTTCAGCACTGGGGAGAACTGGCCCCGCCCCTCACCAGCTGCAGCACTGGGAGAATGGGCCACGCCCCTCGCCTGAGTGGTACAGTAGAGCTGACCCTGTTGGCAGGGGTGTGGAGGAGCTGGTCCCTGAAGGTGTGAGAATGGGAGAGGGTCCCCGCTACCTGTCTGTCATTCAGTGGTGTGGTCACGAGAGAGATGACCCCCTCACCCCTTGCCACCGACTAAGGGCAGGAAAGCTGGTCCCGGGGTCACGAGAGTGAGAAGACTGACCTGGGCCCTGCGTCTCACCCAGGCAGCATGGTAGACCTGACCCTGTTGACAGGGGCACAGAAGATCTGAGCCCACCATCACTCATCTGCCACCCAGTGGAGTGGGTGAAGGAGAGATGTGCTCCCCCTCCCCTGCCCCCGGCAGCCTGCGGTAGGTAGACAGGAGAGCTAGCCATGACGTCATGAGAGTGGGACTAGCTGGCCCCAACCCTCACCAGCTGTAGCGCTTGAGAGAACAGGCCCTGTGCCTTGCCAGGGAAAGCGCAACAGAGCCGACCCTGTTGGTGGGGGCACAGGTGAGCTTGCCCCGAGAGAGTTAGGGCAGGAGAACTGGACCTGCCCCTCACCAACTGCAGTACTCAGGAGAGGCGCCCTGCAGCTCGCCTGGGCAAAATAGTAGAGCTGGCCCTGGAGGTGTGAGTGCAGATGAGCTAGACCCAAGGGCATGAGAGCAGAACTGCCCCTCCCCCTGCTGCCTTGGGTGAGCGGGCAGGGGCAGTGCTGAGAGCTCACCAGGGCGGTGGTGATAATGAGGGTAAGCTGGTGGGCTGAGCAGCCACCACCCAGCCCAGAAGCAGGGTTATGAGTTGGCCCACCCCAACATTCACCATATCTATGAACTGCTGGAGCATGTCAAGGGACCAGACATGCAGATCCAAAGCTGCAGGATCTCCATGACACAAGGCAACAAGAGGATGTCCAAGAGGAGTCCCAGTGAGGGCCCCGTATCAACAGTGTAGCAGAAACCAGAGACCTCAAACCAGACCAATGAGTCAGTGCGATGAACACTTGTGAGTAGAGATGCGTGGACTAAAGGGTGTACCCTGACTCACTCTGCCACACTACTGCTTCCACGATGAGATTTTGTTTTATTTTGTGTTTTGGGGGGTTTTATCTTAAAATATTATTTTATTTTGGAGGAGAGTACAAGGGCAGAGGGTGGATAGGAAGGGATGGAATCGGAATGCATGATGTGAAATCCACAAAGAACCAATTTGAAAAAAGAAAAGAAAATGGTCATCAAGCAGGTGACTAATGCTCTAATCCCAGCACTGGGGATGCTCTAATCCCAGCACTGGGGATGCTTTAATCCCAGCACTGGGGATGCTCTAATCCCAGCACTGGGGATGCTCTAATCCCAGCACTGGGGATGCAGAAGCAGGCAGAGTTCTGAATCCCAGTTTAGTCTGAGTTGCATAGTGGGATCCTATCTCAAGCAAGCAAAGTACACATTCAAGTGCAGCCAAGAGAATTTAATCTACTGGGGGTTCTCATGTTGTGGTGAGTATATAGTTATTTCTGCTCACAAGCCAGCCAATTTAGTCAAATGACAAGTTACAAATTAAAGTGTCTCAAGAAATAAACTGGAGAGTAACTGAAGAGGACACCCAAGGTTGACCACTAGTCTTTATACACACACTCACACGCATGCACACACAGACATACACACTCATATACACATGCACACACACTCATACACACAGTCACACACTCATACACACACTCACTCACACACACACACACACACACACACACACACACACACGCACATCTATCTCTGGGAGAGGCATCCTCAAGACATCTAGCCTTGTGACTGGCATGCTACCATTGACCCTGGTTGTTCTTTGGAGCAGCTTCAGGGAAGCTTGGCACTGCATCCCACCAGGGTTTCTCAGTCTCAGCACCACAGAGTCTGGAGCTGTATCCGTCTCTGCATCCTGTGCAAGGCAGGGTGTGGAGCACCAGCTCTGGCCTCTGCTCCCAAGATGCCAGGAGCACCATAGTTATGACATATGACAGTAATGGCTCCAGACACTGCCAAGTGCCCCTGGAGGGCAAGATCGCCCCCAGATTGAGATCCACTGCATGACCCTTTCTCTCGTCTGTTCCTTTCACGGTGATGCCAGATGGAGACTACCTCACACAGGGGTCTAGTTCTGTGCATGCTGTCAGGGTGACATGTGTGAGTTTTAGCCACTGCCCCTGGAAGAGAGTGATTAGATGACCCATTAGTTTAAGAGGCCAGTGGCCTAATGTGGCTGTGTCACTTTGACATAGACATAACAGTACTCAGCCACCTGGGATGCTCAGTAAGGCTCCCCAGACCCTGCAAGCTTTTCTGCCAGGGAACTTGGCCTCTGAATTTGTCTATCAACTCATCTTCCAGGCTCTGAGATAAACTAGGGCTGTCCTGATTGATAAGAGAACTCCAAATTGAACACTGTAAGCAACAGAGAACCCAAAATTCAACAATGTGAGCAACAAGCAGAGAACCACAAATTGTGAGTTTCTGGTCCCCAGACTCAGGCACGTGTTTGAGTCCTGCGTCTCCCACCTGCTGCACGATGATCACTGAAGTCCTCTTGTTGGATAACTACTTTTTGCAGCTATGGTTCGAGGCCAGCTTTAAAGAGAAAGGAAGAGAGGGCAGGGT